ATAGGCTGACTCAGCCTTCCATCCTTCCCAGGTGGGTCAAATGAGGAGCCAGATTGTTGGGGGCACGAGGCTGACTCTGTAAACCACTTAAAGAGGGCTGTAAACCACTGTGAAGCTGTATATAAAGTGCTCTTGCTTTCTTCCTCTCTTCCTTCCTTTCATCCATCCATCCATGCACGGTGCACTGTGGTTAGAGTGCAGTTCTGCAGGCTGCTTCTGCTAACTGCCGGCTGACTGCAATTTGGCAGATGGAATCCCACCAGGCTCAAGGCTGACTCAGCCTTCCATCCTTCTGAGGTGGGTAAAATGAGGACCCAGATTGTTGGGGGAAACGGGCTGACTCTGTACACTGCTTAGGGAGGGCTGTGAAAGCACTATGGAGTAATATATAAGTCTAAGTACTACTGCCCTTGCTTCCTTCCTTCCCTCCCAGTGGTTAAAATGCAGTATTGCAGGTTAACTCTACCCATAGCAAGGGGTTCAATTCTGACCAGCTCAAGGTTGAACACTCAGCCTTCTATCCTTCTGAGGTCAGTAAAATGAGAAGCCAGTTTGTTGAGGGCAAGAGGCTGGCTCTGTAAACCGCTTAGAGAGGTCTGTATAGCACTGTGAAGCGGTAGATAGGTCTTAAGTGTATTGCTATCCTTCCTTCCTTCCTTCCTTCCTTCCTTCCTTCCTTCCTTCCTTCCTCCTTCCTTCCTTCCTTCCTTCCTTCCTTCCTTCCTTCCTTGGCACACCTAGTAGAGGCAACAGTTTCTAGGAAACCTTACCTGTTGGGAAACTGAAACCACCTGCTGGATGTTAGCCACTGCTGCTTGTTGGGAGACCACCTGTGGGATCTTGGCAACCTTTAAGAACAAGATATTAGGACAGATGGGTTGGTGGGTGCACAGTTCAACAACATACAGCAGGTTGATTGGTCTTCCGTCAACTCAAGCCAAGCCAAGCCAATGTTTATTACAGTCAAAGACCAGAGACCTTCCATCAGTTTTATGTGCACACCTGGCCTGTGGGTTCTTAACAGGTAATCCTCGACTTACAACTTGTTGTTTAGTGACCATTCAAAGTTACAGTGGACCCCGAAAAAGGGACTTACAATCCAGATCTGAAGTTCCGACGGCCACTCTCTCTCCCCAAACACAGCCAGGTGCAACTGGCCCGTCTTTGCAACTGTTTGCAATCACGTGACCTCAAATGATGACTTTTTTTTTGGGGGGGGGAGGTAATCAGTACTGGATTCTGGTTTCCTGTTTTGTTTTGTTTTTAAAGTGGCATTTTTTTTTTATTGCAACTTCTTCTATGTAATTAAAAACATGCTCGATTGTGCTGAAATGGATAGGCTGACACTGAGGATAAAAGATAAAGAAGGTACAGAATACTTTCAAACACGGGATTTATTCTATCAATGGTGGGATGACAGAAGTAGAAATTAAAAATTGGAGAAATACTATTACGTATGGTTTATGTTAAATATATTATTATTACTAGCTCGATACCTGTGCTTGGCTAGGACACTATGTGGTCGGGCTTAGTTTTTGGGGAGGAAAATAAGGGGAAAAAAATTCTGCCTCTGTCTACCAGCATCCATCAGTATTCATCTGGCTAGCGTCCTGTCAGTGAGAGCGTTGAGGGCTGTTTGGAAACTGAAACAGTATTTGCTGTGTGAGCAAGAAGGAGACAGCAAGGAGCCTGGGCGTGGCTTAGCTCAACTGTTCTGTACTAAAGCTGATTGGTGCTCTGAAACTGAAACTGAGACTCCTCTCCTCTGCTTGTGTTTTGCATTTGGAACAGATTTCTTTTCAGGTGGGAAGTAGAACTCCTTAGCATCAGAGCATGTTAATAATAATAATATAGGAAATATTAATGCTCTGATGGTCATTTTGAAACATCCTTTCTTAGTGAGCACCTAGAAGCCAAGAGGAACATACAGACCAAATTTCAAGTTTGTAAGCTTTATGGTTCTGGAGATTTTGTGATGATGCGTGAGTGGTATTTTGCTCTTATTATATAAATATACTAATTTGTAAAGCAAATACATTCAGACAATACACTGTTTATAACGTATTAATGAATGTTAAGGAAAATACAGGTATATAAATAAATCATTTTTAAAAAAATAAACATACCAAATAATGGGTTCAGAAAATGACCTCAGTGCATGTTCACTTTACAAATGCTACAAAAAATTGGGCACGCACACAATGACCTCTGGCAACCCTCACAACTTAACAACCACAATGGCAAGCTAAAATTGCGGTCATTCAGTCGAAAGGCTATCTGCACGCACTTGGGAAGGAGGATGGAAATGTTGAGAAAGCAGTGAAGAGCCCAACCGGAAGGTTTCTTCCTCCCTCTCTCCCCACAAAGGAATGAAATGAAACTGGGGTGCCTCCTTACCTGTATTTGGGTCTGGACCTGCTGTGCCCCGCCTGTCTTCTGGGGCTGAGAAATCGGCGTTGGTAGGAATTGGGCTTTGATGGCCGGCGGGGTGGCGTAGACTTTCTGCTGCTGAGACGCTGGTTGCTGGCTCTGGATAGTGACCTGCTGGGAATTGACCTGGTTATCAACTCATAACGTATTTCTCTGGTCTTTTTAGAGTTGCCAACAGAAAGGCGGAGAAGAGGGGGGGCAGTGCAGCAACTTGCATTCCATAAATGTTTTCAGAGATAGTAACTAGGTGACTGAAGTTTCTGCTGTGCAAATATCTAATTGGAGAGTATGATTGTTGACTCTTGGCTATGGATGTGTCCCATTGGAGAATATGAATTATGATACAACCAGAGAGGTGGGGGAAAACCAGGGTCAAAGGTGACAATGAATGATAGGTCTCCGAGTTGGCTGCACCTAGGCAGTGCCAGCATGTTAACTCCCAATAAATCCTTTTTAAGTTTTGGAAGTTTGGCTCGAGACTCATGATTTAAATGGGGGTAACTGCTGGAATCCTGACACTGGTGACCATCCTGGAAGGGAGGGTAATGACTGGTGTCAGTCAGTTAGACTACACCTGGAAGGAGCCGCGAACGAGGCCCTAACTGGCTGGGAAGGCCAACTCATCTGCCTTTCCAAGTAGGATGGGGAGATGGGAGAAAGCAGGCGCTTATCTGTGTTCCTTGGCCGAAAGGCGAATCATCAAAAGTTAATGAGCAGGATGAATTTGCCACTCCCCCTCTAAGACAGGCGAACAGCTCTGGCTCCATTGTGGCCCAGAAATGACCAACGGGACCTTCCAATTTGGCCATCTTCCCCTAGTGACAGCAATGTTGGGTCTCCACGGAATGTGGTTTGTGATGATTAAATCTAAAAGAACCTTTATATAGAGGAGGAGGAGGAGGAGGAGGAGAAGGAGGAGGAGGAAGAGGAGGGAGGGAGGGAGGGAGGGAGGGAGGAAGGAAGGGAGGGAGGGAGGGAGGGAGGAAGGAAGGAAGGGGCTTGTGGAGAGGAGGAGGAGGAGGAATGGTTTGCAGAAAGGAAGAGGAGGAGGATGGAGGAGGAAGAAGGGTTTGTGGAGATGAAGAGGAGGAGGAGGAGGAAGAAGAGGAAGAGGAATGGGGTTGGCAGAAAGGAAGAGGATGGAGGAGGAAGAAGGGTTTGTGGAGAGGAGAAACAGGAGGATGACCATGACAACTGTGGAGTCCTTGGTGCTCTCTGCGCTTGCTTCTTTTCTGGCAGACATTTCATGACCCAACTAGGTAACATCATCAGTGCTAGAAGTGAGTGGGGTTGGAGGAGGAGGGAGACTGACCTTCTGCTGAACACCTGCCTGTCCTTGGGCCACCTGTGGCTGGATGACCTTCTGCTGGGCCGCCTGGTGGTGCTGAGCTTGTTTCACCTTCAAAAACTGCTGGACGTGGAGCGGCTGAGCCATCACTGCCTGACCTCCTGCGCAGGAGGCAAAGAAGAGACATCACTATAAGCCCCCCCCCTTTTTACAGGGTCCGTTGTATGTATGTATGTATGTATGTATGTATGTATGTATGTATGTATGTATGTACATCTCAATTCCAAGCCACCCAGATTCATTGACTGGACGGCTGTAGAACTTGGATGAACCAACGATTTGGGGTGGGGGGGTTGAGTTTTTCCAACTAAACTAAAGGAACCCCAGCCCCCTGTGCCCACCCCAAACCCTTTCCGACCCAAATTACCTGCTGCTTTCTGAGGCTGCCCAATCGCCACGCTAATCCCGGAGACTGTAACGGGGAGGGCGGTCACCCCTGCCGAGGATACCACCGGGACGGACATCACGGGGGGCTTGGCCAAAGCCACTTGGGCTGCTTGAGGCGTCTGACCTTGGATCTGGCTTTGGGTTTGGAGCTGAGAAGCAGCCACCCGCGTCTAAAGCAGGAAGGAATCGGGATTATTGTACAGGTGCAGAGCAAGAAGCAGGAAAGTGGGGCTGTTCTAGCCCAGGGGTGTTCTCAGGGCTCCGGCAGTGACCCCCCATTTAAATCATGAGTCTCTAGCAGGACTTCCAAAACTTAAAAATGATTTATTGGGAGTTAACATGCCCAACACTGCCTGGGTGTAGCCGATTCTGAGACACATCATTCACTATCTTGACCCTGGTTTTTCCTCCACACCCTGAGTGTATCATAACCCATATTCTCCAATGGGACACATCCATAGCCAAGAGCCCTCAATCATGCTCTCCACTTAGAATTTTGCTTGGCAGAAATTTCAGTCACCTAGTTACTATCTTTGAAAACTATTTATGGAATGCACTTTCGGTTTGCAAGCTGCTGCACTGCTTCCCCCTCCCTTTTTGTTGGCAACTCTAAAAAGACCATAGAAATGAGTTCACGGGTTGACAATCTGTCTGAAATCTACCTCACCAAATCGACTGTAGGGTTTACAAAAGACCCTTCATCCTGCAATATGTTTGGGGGCCGATTTGTATTTGTATTATATTGGGGGTAACTGCCGGAATCCTGACAGCTAGCCAACTCTGAGACACATAATTCATTGTCTCCCTTAACCCTGGTTTCCCCCCCCACCCCCTGGGTGTATCATAATTCATATCCTCCAATGGGACACCTCCATAGCCCAGAGTCATCAATCGTGCTCTCCAGTTAGAATTTTGCTCTGCAAAAACTTCAGTCACCTACTTACTATCTTTGAAAACATTTATGGAATGCAAGCTGCCACACTGCTCCCTTTCCCTTTCTGTCGGCAACTCTAAAAAGACCACAGAACTATTTTATGAGTTGACAAGCGTCAAACCCAAGGCCCACAAGCCAGATTCAGTGTGTTGGATCCAGCCCGCAGGGCCGGCTTGGAAAATGTACGGTGCTAGCCTGCACAGCTTCGGCCTGATCTACCCAATGTGAAGAGGAAACATACCAGCAGTTTGGGGAGTGGCAGTCAAGCTGGCCACACCCACCCGGTTGGACACACCCACCTGGTTGGCCATGCCGGGAGGTCGAAAATGGCCTTCTGAGGCTGCAGAGGCTTCCCTCGAGCCTCCGGGAGGGCGAAAAAGGCTTCAAACGGGCCAAATATCAGCTGGGAGGCGCGCACATGCGCAGTGCAGGTAAGTTTGACCGGGGCCCATGTGCCCCCATGTGCCATAGGTTCGCCATCACGGAGATATGGCCTGCCCTCTAAGGCCTAGAAAAGCACTGGGCCACCTTGGGCAGGTCGAGTGGCCACTCACCAACCGGGCCACTTGGAGGCCGGTGACTGTGGTGCCGGCAAGGACCGCGCCTGGCCTGGAGGCCGCCACCGCCGTGAGCTGCTGCGTCTGTTGCTGCTGCACCTGGACCTGGGCTGCCTGCTGCTGCGTTCCGGAGGGGGCTCCCTGGGGCTGGGAGGCCTGTTGTTGTGTGGCCTGCAGCTTTTGCTTCTGGAACTTGATGAGCTGCTCCTGGGTGGGTGGAAGCCAAGGCCCCCCAAGAGCGTTAAATCCCAACTTCTTGTACGGTTTTCCCCGAGCCGCCCCCTGGGAAAAGCGGCAGTGGGAGAGAGGGAGGCAGGGGATCGCGCCCAGCTTCCCAACCACGGGAGGCAGAGCGCCTCCTCTTCCTCACCTGGGAAATCTTGCCGACGGTCTTAATCTGGGGTTGTGACGGGGTCTGGCCTTGGCCTTGGATCTGGGGAACTTGGACCTGTCCGGATGCCTGTTGCTGCTGCTGCTGCTGCTGCTGGCGTAAGAGCTGGAAGTGATTTTGAGGGATGGTCTTTCCGGAAAGCTGCACGCTGGATGCAGCAGCTGGGAGGGGGGGAAAAAAAGAATCATGAAGAAAGGGAAAATAAGATGGCTAAATTGACGGCTCTGATTAAAGAAAAGAACACAAGTGATTTTGATTTGTTTGGAAACCACTCTTGGACTTTGGGGGTTGGGGGAGGAAATGCAACTTTGATTCAGGGTTTTGTTGACTAGATAGGTTTGTGGTTATAGGAATGGCTACTATGTACATACACACACACACACACACACAAACACAAACACACAAACACACACATATATTAAACATTACGCAAGCTATAGAAATGGCTAGTATATACATACACACACACATATATATATTAAATGTTTCATTATACAAACTATAGAAATGGCTACTATATACATACATACATACACACACACACACACACACACACACACACACATATTTATTAAACGTTTCATTATACAAACTATAGAAATGGCTAGCATACACACACACACAGATATCATTCTATTAAACGTTTCATTACACCAACTAACATCATCCGTGCTAGTGGTATGACTGGACGGAAGGGGTATGCCAAGTTTGTATTTAGGGGTGTCTGTAAAAGCGTGGGAGGAGGAGTCCGCGGCTGGCTAGCATGGATGACGTCACCTAGTTTGGGTAGTGAAACGTCTGTGAGAAAAGAAGGAAGGTCAGAGAGCACCAAGGACCCTACATGTCCCCTTTTCTCTGCCACTTCGCACACCCCTCCCCTCCTGATGATGTCACCGAGTTGGGTCATGAAACGTCTGCAAGAAAACCACCAAGCTCAGAGAGCACCGAGGACCCTGCAGTCTTTCTCCTCCTTGTCCTTGTCCTCCTCTCAACAAAACCCATCCCTCTTAACACTGATGATGTTACCTAGTTGGGTCATGAAACGTCTGCAAGAAAGCAAGGAAGCTCAGAGGGGCACCAAGGACCCCTCCTGTCAAAAGTCTTCAGCTGGTGACCTTGGGGGTTGGAAGGCTTAAGATTCCTGCTCTCCCTCCGGCTTCCCACCCTTTTCAATCCTCTCTCTCTCTCCCCCCACCTTAGCTCCTTTGTCAAGCTGCCAGCAGAAAAGGGTGTTTTGCGAGTCACCTTGGACAGGAAGGTTGAGCTCTAACACAGGTGAAGACAAGCCCTGTTCGATCAAGCGAAGAACCTCTGGCGTCTTGCTCTAAAACCAGTGTTCCTCAGCCTCAGCCACTTTCAACTTCATGACTCGTGGACTTCAACTCCCAGAATTCCCTGGCCATCTGGGGAATGCTGGGAGTTGGAAGTCCACCCTTTTGAAAAGTGGCTGGGGTTGAAAAACGAGATGCACCCAGAGGTGGGATTCTGACCAGTTCTGGAGAACCGCTAGCGGAAATTTTGAGTAGTTCGGAGAACCGGCAAATCCCACCTCTGACTGGCCCCGCCAATCCCATCTATTCCCTGCCTCCCATTGAGTCCCGGCTGATCGGCCGGGTCTTCTTTGGTTGCCCTGCCCAGGAGAAGGGAGCTGGAAAGCAGGTTAGTGGGATGGAGAGGGAAGGGGATTTTGCAGTATCCTTCCCCTGCTACGCCCACCAAGCCACGCCCACCAAGCCACGCCCACAGAACACTACACCCACCAAGCCACGGCCATAGCTGATCGGCTGGGTCTCTTTTGGTTGCTCTGCCCAGGAGAAGGGAGCTGGAAAGCAGGTTAGTGGGGTGGGGAGGGAATAGGGATTTTGCAGTGTCCTTTCCCTGCCATGCCCACCAAGCCACGCCCACCAAGCCAAGCCACACCCACAGAACCAGTAGTAAAAAAAATTGAATCCAACCACTGGATGCACGCACCCCCACCTCTACCCCCCCACAGGTTTTACCTGGTGTCACCTGAGTGACCAAAGACCTTGGCTGGGTCTGGACTGGAGTCAGGTTAGTGGTCACCACGGCTGAGGCCGTCACTGAAGTGACCGCTCGAACTCCGGGTGTGGACGTGAGGGTGACCAGTTCCGAGGAGGCGGCCGAGGTGCCGGTGGCTCTCTGCTGGGAATGGACCACCTGAGCGGTGGTGGTTCCTGCTCCCGAGGTCTAAAATGAAGGAGAGAAAAGGGGAAGGTTGGCGGATCTGCGGCCAAATTCACCTCGCCAGAAACTGAGTTGTGAGAGCTGTGAGGCCGGTTGCCAATATTCTAAAAAAATCGCCATTCAGAGCTAATTTTTGCCATGAATCTTCCCTTGTGTCTCTCAAGGGTCTTCAGCCACATCGGTAGCAATCTGGTCACTTCATCTGACATGGCGGCACTGTTCTTTGTGAAGCCACAATGCATCATGGTTTGTAACAGAAGGACAGGATGTCGGTCCAGAATAATAATTTAATAGGAAACATTTTTAGATCAATGCAGCCAAACCGCTTTTCAAGTTTCTTAAATAGAGGTTTGTATTATCACTGAAGTAATAGTGGTAGTGTGGTGGTGGTGGTGAAGAAATTAATAATAATAATAATAATAATAATAATAATAATAATAATAATAATAATAATAATAATAATATCATCAACAACGATGAGGAGGAGGAGGAGGAAAGAAGGAAGAAAGGAGAGGAGGAGGAGAAGGAAGGAAGGAGAGAAGGAGGAGGAGAGGGAAAGAAGGAAGGAAGGAAAGAAGGAAGGAAGGAGGAGGAGGAGAAGGAAGGAAGGAGAGAAGAAGGGAGGAGGAGAAAGAAAGAAGGAAAGAAGGAAGGAGAGAAGAAAGAGGAGGCATTGACATTGACCAAGGCATTGACCAAGGCATTGAGAAGACCTTGAACACATCCACATCTGCCTATCCCAGGTCCTTGGGGAAGGACTCAATAGATGGACAAAAATGCCAAACCCAGTCTGAACACCTGGATTGCCTGTTGCAACGAACCACAATCCCTCCACAATTCTTCTCCAAAGGCGGCCCTCTCCGTTTTAATAGAAGGCGGCCATTTATTTTTTGGGGCAAAATTACACCGCCTACACACGTTCCGCTCCGATGAAACAGCCACTCACCGCCAGCGTGCCGGGTACGATGGGTGAAGCCAATCGCTTGTTGATGGGCTGAAACGTCGTCGCCGGGACGCCGGTTAGGGTGTTGACGCTCACGGTGGCTGGAAACAAAGGCGCGGTCACTCGGGAGGCAGGGCGAGCAGCAATGGGGGGGGGGGG